ACACTGTAATGAAGGTTCCAGTCAGTACAATGAAATAAGTGAAATAATTTCCAATGAATTTGGAATGGAAGAAGTAAAACTATATTTATTTGCAGATGACATGACATATATAGAAAATCCTAAGAAATACAATTTTTAAAGTATTAGAACTAATAAATGAGCTCAGTAAGATTACAGGGTACAAGATCAATATACAAATATCAACTGTATTTCTATATATTAGCAAAGATCAATCTGAAAACAAAATTTAAAAAATATTCCAAAACAATTCCATTTACAACAGCATCAAAAAGAATAAAATATTTAGGAATAAATTTTACAAAATAAATACAAAACTTTACTCTTAAAATTATAAAATATTGTTGAAAAAAATTAAAGATGACCTAAATAAATGGAAAGACTCATGTTAATGGATCCAAAAGACTTAATATTAAGAAAGCAACTGCCCAACTTGTTCTACAAACTTAACTCAATCCATATGAAAATCTAAGCTTTTTTTTTTTTGCAGAAATTGACATGCTAATCTTAAAACTTACAAAGAAATGCAAGGAAGCCAGAATAACCAAATAAATAAACAAACCAAAACACCCTGAAGAAAAAGAACAAAGCTGGAGGACTCAGACTTCACTGCCAAGTCCATTCAATGGAGGAAAAAAAACTCTTTTCTACTAAAGATGCTGGGAAAATTGGATTCCACATGCAAAAGAGTTAAGCAGGATGTCTCCTTAGACCATCCACAAAAAATTAAATCTAAAGGAATCACAGATCTAAATATCAGAGCTAAAACTATAAAACTCTCAGAAGAAAATATAGTAGTAAATCTTCGTGACCTTTGTCCAGGCAATGGTTTCTAAATATGACAACAAAAGTGCAAGCAACAAAATAAAAATATGTAAATTTGTTTTCATCAAAATTAAAAACTTCTGTACTTTGAAGGCCACCATCAAGTAACTGATAAGACCACAGAATGGGGAAAATATTTACAAATCATATATCTCATCAGGGACTTTTATCTGGATTATATAAAGAATTCTTACAACTCAATAATAACAAGACAAACCAATTAAAAATGGGCAAAAGATCTGAGTAGACATTTCTCCAAATAAGATTTACAGACGTCCACTAAGCACATGAAAAGATGTTCAATATCATTAGCCATTAGGAAAATACCAATCAAAACCACAATGAGATACCATTTCACACCACTAAGATGTCCATAATCAAAAAGACAGATAATATCAAGTGTTGGAGACTGTGAAGAAATTAGAACCATCAGATACTGGTGGTGTAAATGTAAAATGGATGGTTCCTCAAAACTTAAACACAGAGTTATTATATATGACCCAGAAATTCCACTCTTAGGTATGTACCCAAGAGAAATAAAAACATATGCCCACACAAAAACTTGTGCATGAATATTCGAGCAGAATTATTCATAATAGTCACAAAGGGGAACAACCCAAATGTTCATCAACTGATGAATGGATAAATAAAACAATGTATCCACAAGATGAAATTGGCAACGGTAATGAATGAAATGTTGAAACAAGCTACAGCATGGATAAACCTTGTAAACATTCTAAGTGAAAGAAGCCAAACACAAAAGACTGACATGTTGTGCTGTCTTCTTATATGAAATGTCCAAAATCTATTTTTAGAGGCATAAATCAAATTAGTATTGACTAGAGCTGGCAAATTTGTGAAGAAATGAGGAGTGACTGCTAACGGGTACTGGATTTCCTTTTGGAGTGAGTAGAGGGCTCTAAAATTGATTGTGGTAATGGTTGCACAACTCTGTGAACAGAATAAAAACCATTCAATTGTACAGTTTAAATGGGTGAATTCTTCAGCATGTGAGTTATAGCTCAAAGTTGTTAAAAAAAAATCTCTGCAGTATAACTTATAATCATAAAAGGTCAGTTATCAGACACCCCAAAGTTATTCCTGCTTGTTTGCTATAAAGCCCAAGAACTATGATAGAATTTATTTTCCCCTCCAGTCTCCTAGAATTTCAAGCAGTGAATCTTTTAGGGTCAGTTAGAAAAAATAAAGAAACACATCTTTTATTTTTAAGTCTGGCTCATCATATCAGAAGTCAATTTAATTCAGCTGAAATCCTCTAACCTATACAGAAAAATAAGAAAAGGTTTCTCTCTCTAAGCTCAGTGATACCATCTAAAGAGATGGTAAAAATGTGTGGGTTTTCCAAATAGAAAACAAATTCCAATATTTTCCCAACTGAAAACTGTCTGGTTTTATGATCAAACAAGTAGAGCGGGAAAAAGGTTGTGGAAAAATGTACTCCATCAAGGTTTCCAAAGTTGCAAGCAGGACACTAAATGGACCTTAACATAAATAAGTCAAAAAAAGTAATTGACTTATTCACTTTAATATCAAGTAGGATAATTCCAGTTTATTCACTTTGTAGATAGTAGCTTTAAAAAATTTACTTTGATATACTGTACATTTATGGGTCACAAAAAAGAACATTTTTCTGTTATTTTACTTATAGCTCAACTAAGTCTCAGTGAAGATATACTCTATCTCATACCATGTTTTCAATGGAAGAATACAAAGAAAGGTGAAATGTTTCGCTTTTTTTTTTAAAACTATATCCGAGATTGTGGTTCATTTTATTCTGTAGCTTGGAATAAACATCACTTCTGCTTCTAAATGCATCTAGCTGCGGTCAAAGCTTTGACAATAGTTTTTTTCTCTCATTATTAGGAATTTCAAAAGGATTATGAAGAGCTTAGATGAATAAAAAGGGAAACAATCTGGCAGCTATCTGAGAAACACTCCAGCCCACCCTAAGGGCTTATTTATGTACACCAGTATTCTAGGTCAGGGTGAATATAAAATAATTTAATACATGGTACCACTCCTTGAGGAATCACAAATAATAAAAATTTTTAAAAACAGCTCCATAATTAACTGATTATGTCTAATTATTAAATTCGTAGAGATTATAAATACTTTAAGGAATTAAAGGGAATGGTATCCTACAGATAATTTTTCCACAGATGTCAAATGATATACATAAGACTATTCAATTCAGTAGTGTTTGGAAGTTTTTTAAAAACTGGAAATATTAATTAAAAGGAACTAACTAGGTAAATTACAATCAAAGCTGCTGCAGTTGATTGTATTGATAACTGAGAAATCCTAGGGAGTACCATTCAAATCATAGTCTGTGTGAATCTGTTCAGTGTCCAACATTCACAACCATATGTGGTAGATGTGATCATGGCATATTCATTCAGTGGAGTATCATTCAGCCCTAATATAAAAATGAGAAAACTTGTGTATTGATTGGGAAATATCATTAACAATTATTAATAGAAAAAAGTAAGATACAGACGTTGGTATGCTTACATTGTGTAAAAAGGAGGAAAAATAATAAAAATTAAATTTACTTAAGTACATAAAATATTTCTAGAAGAACACACAGTGGCTGGGACACAGGAATGGGAAGGAGACTCTTCATTATATACTCTTTTTTTTTTTTTTTTTGGGTACGCAGTCCTCTCACTGCTGTGGCCTCTCCCGTTGCGGAGCACAGGCTCCGGACGCGCAGGCTCAGCGGCCACGGCTCACGGGCTCAGCCGCTCCGCGGCATGTGGGATCTTCCCGGACCGGGGCACGAACCCGTGTCCCCTGCATCGGCAGGAGGACTCTCAACCACTGCGCCACCAGGGAAGCCCCCATTATATACTCTTTTGTACATTTGAATTTTGTTTTAAGTGAACATATTGCTATTACTTATTCAAAAATTAATTAAAGAATTTTTGAAGAGAAAAAGAAAAAATTAATGAAACCTGAAGTAATCCAGAAAAGTTTCCTAGAAATGGCAAGACATGAGTTAAGGTTGGAAAAACCATGATTTAGATAAAAAGGTTAAAAAGGAAATGTATTTCAGGAAGCAATATGGGGAATATAAGTGACTAGGGGATGAAGTAAACCAAGAAATGTCTCCAAAATCAAGCTATATGTGGCAAGCAGTGGCAGATGGCATGCCGATTTACCTCTTGCTATTCTAACGTTAAGGGAACTAATAAGGCTCAAACTCCTTAACTGGTGTTTAAGGCAAAATAACAAGATCATGAATGTGATGTTTTAAATGGTTAGTTTGCTGGTGCTAGTTACGCAAGTGTGTTCAGTTGGTGAAATTTCATAAAGCTGAGCATCTGTGATTTGTGCACTTTTCTATATGTTATAGTTAATTTAAAAAGAGACATAGAGATAGAGTTTAATCTGGAAGCTAGGTATAAAATAGCTTGAAGACAGCAAAAACATAAAATGAGACATAAGAAGGCAAATTAATAAGTCACTACAGCTATACAGCTTGAGAAATGAGGATCTATAATTGACAATGTCAGTGAGAGTTAACACCAAAGACGTTTGACCTGGTAAATGGATTTAAAGAAAAGAGAGACAGATGATACAATGATAACTTCAAGGCTTTAATAATAAATGATGACAATATCAATAGAAATGGAAGAATGAGAATACGGAGCTACTTTAAAGAAAATACATTCATTTCAGCAGGAAATAAATGCTTAGGTAAAATACAAGGCTAAGGATACAAAGTTGAGAGTCAGCTGCTTAAAGGTGATAAAACCAATAGATTGAATGTTGACAGAAAAGCAGAGAATTACAAGGACAAAGCCCATGAGAATGTATCAATGGAGGAACTAGAAGAAGAAAAGCCAAAGGGTAGAGATTAAGTAAGCAAAAAAGAGGTTTGACAGAGTTACAGATGATGGGATATAAAAGAAGTTATTAGCAATGTCGAATGTCAGAGAGAGATGTGAAAACTGGAAAAAGTCATTATTGGAATTTTCAGGTAAAGCCAGTATAGTAAAATAAGTACTTCAGCCCCGCCCCTGCGCGCCGGTCCAGCCAGCTCGCTCCGGCTCGCTCCGGCCCCGGGGCCGCCCCCTCCCCGCCCCGCCCCCTCCAGCCGGGGGTGCTCTAGATGCTGCGCGGAGACCCTGTGCACCCCTGCGAACATGGCGCTGCAAGTGGCGCGGAGCGTGCGGGCCGCGGTCTGCAGCCTGCGCGCCATCTCTGCGCCCAACGCGCCCTGCCCGCCGCGGCCCTGGGGACTGCGGGCGGGCGCCGTCCGGGCGCTGCGCACCGGTCCCGTTCTGCTGTCGGGTCGTAAATTCACAGACAAACATGAATGGGTAACAACAGAAAACGGTGTTGGAACAGTGGGAATCAGCAATTTTGCACAGGAAGCTTTGGGAGATGTTGTTTACTGTAGTCTGCCTGAAGTTGGGACAAAATTGAACAAACAAGAGGAATTTGGTGCTTTGGAAAGTGTGAAAGCTGCTAGTGAACTCTATTCTCCTCTATCAGGAGAAGTAACTGAAATTAATGAAGCTCTAGCAGAAAATCCAGGACTTGTCAACAAATCTTGTTATGAAGATGGTTGGCTGATCAAGATGACACTCAGTAACCCTTCAGAACTAGATGAACTAATGAGTGAAGAAGCATATGAGAAATACATAAAATCTATTGAGGAGTGAAAATGGAACCCCTAAATAAACTAGTTTGAAACAACTTAATCTAGTATAGTTGTCTTAAATTAGTGGTGGATAGATTTTTAAAAAGCAACTTTTAGCAAAAGAAACTACTTTCAACAATGTTGCCTGAAGAAAATACCCCTTAACTTCCTAATGATTTCACATAAACACTATGCATCTTTTTCACAACAGCCTGTGATTTTTAGGCTAGTCTCCAGTTATAATACTCAGAATTCCTGAAATTATCTGTGGTAAAACTAGTTATAAAAATTATGTAATTCAAGGATAACATTGTTATCTTAACCTTACAAAATATTGTAACTTGCTTACAGCCATCCCTGGATTTGGGTCAAAATACTCAATGAACTTGCCATTGGAAATAAATGACAGTGGAGAAAAGTTTGTTAGTTGTATAGTGTCCAGTGAAGAACATTACTATCTTAATTTTGCAATATACTGTGTTTGCTGGTGCTATTTTTATACAGTGAAGCAACAGCCTTGCAGGAAAATAAGAAATAGTTTAATAATAAAATATTCAACTTCTTAAAAAAAAAAAAAAAAAAAAAAAAAAAAAGAAGTACTTCAGAAGCTCCTACCACCAATAACTAATAAAAAGAACAAAAACTGTTAAGAAAAAACAAAAATTTAAACATATCATCAGCAAATAAAGGAGTAAAACTTTATGCCACAAGTTTCACAGCATAGTTTCAAAGGAAAAAAAGAGAAAATTCTGGTGCTCTAGGCAGCATGGAAATGTGCCCAACGCTACCCCTCAACTTTCAGAAGATATCCCGAGGAAGAAGAATTAACAAAATCCTGAGAATTCACACTGGATACTCCAAGATGAAAAGAAGCAGCATACACTGAACAGACCAACCTAGGGAAGAATCAAGAAAATAACTAAAGGAATATTACTCAGCCATAAAAAGAAACGAAACTGAGTTATTTGTAGTGAGGTGGGTGGACCTAGAGTCTGTCATACAGAGTGAAGTAAGTCAGAAAGAGAAAAACAAATACCGTATGCTAACATAAATATATAGAATCTAAAAATAAAATGGTTCTGAAGAACCATAGGGAATGATAAGCTGGGAAGAAGTGAGAGACTGGCATTGACATATATACACTACCAAATGTAAAACAGATAGCTAGTGGGAAGCAGCCACAGAGCACAGGGAGATCAGCTCGGTGCTTTGTGACCACCTAGAGGGGTGGGATAGGGAAGGCGGGAGGGAGACACAACAGGGAGGGGATATGGGGATATATGTATTCGTATAGCTGATTCACTTTGTTATACAGCAGAAACTAACACAACAATGTAAAGCAATTATACTCCAATAAAGATGTTAAAAAAAAAAAAAAAGAAAAGAACTAAAGAAAGAAGCTTCTCTGTACCAAGACAGGACCTCAGAAAAATGCAGGGAGGGCAGCCTTGGCTTGCCATTTTCCAGGGCTCTATGAAGAACTGGTGGATGAAATTAAATCCAGAAGTACAGGATGTTTAATGGAATCTCATAAGAGAGAGTAAATCTCAGGGCCCCCAACAAGGCCAAACTCAGTCCCAGCCAATACCTCCCCACCCCTCTATCGCCATGCTCATATGACAAATAAACCAAAATTAAAAGTAAAACCTAGGAATTCCCTGGTGGCGCAGTGGTTAAGAATCCGCCTGCCAATGCAGGGGACACGGGTTCGAGCCCTGGTCCAGGAAGATCTCACATGCCCTGGAGCAACTAAGCCCATGCACCACAACTACTGAGCCTGCGCTCTAGAGTCCGCGAACCACAACTATTGAGCCCGCATGCCACAACTACTGAGTCCATGCACCTAGAGCCCGTGCTCTGCAACAAGAGAAGCCGCCACAATGAGAATCCCGCGCATCACAACGAAGAGTAGCCCCTGCTCGATGCAACTAGAGAAAGTCTGTGTGCAGCAATGAAGACCCAATGCAGCCAAAAATTAAAAATAAATTTAAAAAAAAAGTAAAACCGGGCTTCCCTGGTGGCGCAGTGGTTGAGAGTCCGCCTGCCGATGCAGGGGACACGGGTTCGTGCCCTGGTCTGGGAAGATCCCACATGCCGCGGAGCTGCTGGGCCCGTGAGCCATGGCTGCTGAGCTTGCGCGTCCGGAGCCTGTGCTCCGCAATGGGAGAGAGGTCGCGACAGTGAGAGGCCCGCGTACCGCAAAAAAGAAAAAAAAAAAAAAAGTAAAACCTAGCTTCTGACCCAAACAAGATGGCATAGACCATTTTTCCCAGCTCAGCCCCACAAAACACAACTATAAACACTGAAAATAGAAAAAGAGACGACCAAAGAATAACTCTGAGAGGTAGAAAAGGGAAACTCCTTTGGCCCTAGGACTGGAAGAACAGCACAGAAGCAGGGTATCTTGTACCCCCCTCACCAAACAGAAAACCGTCATCCATTTCTGACTTTTCCCAACTTCCAGTCTGGGAAAAAAAGGCAGTCCGTGTAGGCTAACTCCTCCCAGGATCTGACAAGAGTCCCTCTGACTACATCAGGCAAGCCAGACACCACCAGCAAGGGAGACAGATTATGAGCCTCACCAAAAACAAACAGCCAGGGGAAGCATTCTCCTTCCCTGATAGGCCTGAGAATCCCATTTTGTGCCAAGAGAAACGGAACTAGGCAGGAAGAACCAGCAAGAGAGATCCAGCAATAGCAAGCAGCCCAGTCAGAAAGCCTCCCTGTCCCCACAGGTCCAAGGATCACCTTTCCCACCCAGAAACACCAGAGCAGGTACACAGAACTGGCAAAAGGGACCCAGCTCTAGCAAGAGGTTCAGTCCAGGAAGCTCCTTGTTCTCTGCGAGTCCAAGATTCTCCTTTCCTGACCAGAGACTGTAGGGCAGCTAGGGGGCATGGTAAAGAAATCCTATCTCACCCCTTCTCTAACCAATAGACATCTAGTACTGCTCAGCCTAAGAAAAATGTCTTCTACTCCCTCAAGCAGCACCACCACCATCAAGAATCAGTGGGAGCCCTAGTGATACCAGATAAAGCAAACCAAAATAACAGCACAAAGACTCAAAATTAAACTGTCACTGGAACCACAGCCCACAAAAATAGGCCAAGAACTGCATGTTAAATCTAACCAGAGTGACTGACTGCCTGTAAAAATAAAAGATTGAAATAGGCTATTGAAATAGAGTCTCCTAACATAATAGATAAAATATCTAGGCTTCAATTGAAAATCACCTGTCATATCAAGAACCAAGAAAAATAATCACAAGTTAAAAAAGAAAAGACAATCAACTTATGCCAACAACAAGATGAATCAGATGTTGGAATTATCAGAAAATGATTTTAAATCAGCCATCATAGAAATGCTTCAACAATCGATCACAAATTCTCTTAAAACAAATGTAAACCAACAATTACAAATTCCCTTAAAACAACTGTAAAATTAGAAAATCTAAGCAAAAAATAGAAGTTATTAAAAAACATGGAAATTATAGAACTAAAAAATATAATAACAGGAATAAAAAACTCACTAGATTAGCTCAACAGTAGACAACAAAGGATACAATCAGTGAATGTAAGAAAGAGGAATAGAATTCAACCAAACCAAACAACATTGAGAAAATATACAGAAAATAAGAAGAAGAATAAGCAAAGCCTCAGGGACCTGCAGGACAATAACAGAAGACCCAACATTTGTATCGTCTGAGTTTCAGAAGGAGAGAAGAAAGTAGGGCTGAAAGAGTATTCAAAAAAATATGTCCAACTTGGTGAATGAGAAATCAAGACAGTGTGGTATTAGTAGAGGATAGACAGTAGATGAATGGAACAGAATAAAGAGCCCAGAAATAGACCCACATAAATATGCTCAACTATTTTTTGACAAAGGTCCAGAAGCAATTCAATGAAGGAAAACTAGCCTTTTCAATAAATGGTACTGGAGCAATTGGATATCTATAGGCCAAAAAAAGAAAAAAAAGAATGAACTCTGACCTAACACCTTACACAAAAATTAATTCAAAAACTTAAACATAAACGTAAAACTGCAAAACTTCTATGAAAAAAGAAACAAGGAAATCTTCAGGATCTAAAGCTAGGCAAAGTTCTTAGACTTGAAACAAAAAAACACAATCCAGGGCTTCCCTGGTGGCGCAGTGGTTGAGAGTTCGCCTGCCGATGCAGGGGACACGGGTTCGTGCCCCGGTCCGGGAAGATCCCACATGCCGCGGAGCGGCTGGGCCCGTGAGCCATGGCCTCTGAACCTGCGCGTCCGGAGCCTGTGCTCCGCAAAGGGAGAGCCCACAACAGTGAGAGGCCCGTGTACCGCAAAAAAAAATAATTAATTAATTAAATTTTAAAAAAACACAATCCATACAAGGAAAAATTGATAAATTGGGCTTATCAAAAGTAAAAAGGTTGCCCTGTGAAAACCCATGAGAAGATGAGAAAAAGACAGGCTATGGACTGGGAGAAAATATTTGCAAACCACATATCTGACAGAGAACTAGTACCTAGAATTCATAAAACCTCTTAAAATTCAACATTTAAAAACAACAACAATCCAACTAGAAAATGAGCAGAAGACATGAACAGACATTTCACAGAAAAGGATATAAAAATGGCGAATGAGCACACAAAAAGATGTTCGACATAAATTAGCCTTCAGGGAAATGCAATTAAAACCACATGGAGATACCACTACATACCTATCAGAATGGCTAAAATAAAATATAATGACAAGACCAAACACTTGTAAGGATATGGAAAAAGTGCATCATTCATTTGTTGCTGGTTAGTAGACAAAAAATGGTACAGCCACTCTGGTGTCTTGTAAAACTAAACATTCAACTACCATATGACCCAACAATTGCACTCTTGGACATTTATGCCATAGAAATGAAAACATATGTTCACACAAAAACCTGTACACAAATGTTCATAGCAGCTTTATTTGTAATAGCCAAAAGCTGGAATCAGCACAGGGATCCTTCAACAGGTGAATGCATACCATGGAATACTACCCACATTAAAAAGGAACAGTCTATCAACACAGACAACAACTAGC